AGGATTTAGAAACTGATGAGAAACTGAAATTCCAGCAACAGAGACATTTTTTAAAGACTAACTTTATTAGAACAGGCAGACATACCTAATCAAGGAAATTAGGGGATCTCCAGAAGTAAGAGACTACTGATAGAATTCTGGACCAGATGTTTTACAGTGTCCTTGGGGCCCTTCTACTCTTTTTGTCTGGTCCTTGGCAGCCTTGGTTGCTTTTCCCAAAGACATCCATTTGGTAATAGTTGAAATTTCTTTGGTGTGAGGCATAGGGTGGAGGATAATCTCTGGAAGAATGAGCAGCTTTTCTTAAAGGGGCCAGTCCCTGTTTGCAGATTGGCCTAATTTCATCTGATTCTCCTTCAATGTACTGATCATTTGAGGAACATGTTCTGGCTAGAGCTCTAAGAACCTAACTTTGTTTCTTCCCTAGAAGCATTGACTCAACCCTTGTAAAAACAGTGTGTATAGTGACTTTAGAAACCAGACCATGTAGATGCCAGGGTAACATCATTAGAGATGAGGGATAAGCTTATGAGCTAACCCATAATCCAGGGATCCCATGCAATCAATCTCATGCAGGTTGTCTCTCATCCACAGATTCATTGTTGATGGTCATCTGGCTTTGTTTCCAGGTTCACGTTTCAATTCAGTGACAGGAAGCCCTCTTTTCTGAGAACATGCCATTAAAAGAAGTGATCAATATTTTCATAGAACAGCAATCATTAAGAACTGCAACACAGCAGAATGCAAGGACACCCTTGCAGTTTCTCACAAGACATGTTATTGGCAACAGGTAATTGTGGAACCTGGACATAAAAGGAATGTTGTAGGAGGATATCCTTTCCTGAGCACAGTTACATAATCTCTTATTTCCACAGGCAATGAAAACAGTGAAGATGGCCAAAACCCTTTCTTGAATGTTGGTGAAGTAAATGGTGGTGTGAGTAGTCCTGAAAATGGGATGGACTCCATTCTCATTATCCCAGACAGGGCAGTATCCTGAGCCTGAAGAGAGAGGTGTTTCTTATGGAGTTGCTCTGGATCTCAGCAGAGCAAGTCAAGACACCTCCAGGTACCAGGCAGAGTACCTGAGGAGACCTTCTTATGAACAACTCCCTACTGAGGTATAACCAATGTATCTCCCCTGGTCTTACCAGTCTGAAGACACCACAGATGGCCACAAGGTAGTCTTGAACACTGCTGATGTAAATGTTGGTTTTAACAATCTCACAAATCAGCGAGAATCCCTCCTCATTATCCAGAGAGGACAGTATCCTGAGCCTGAACAGGGAGGTGTTTCTTATAGAGTACTCTGTGATTCTGGAAGAGTGATTTGGGGGCACATCCAGGTCCCAGGATGTGTCTCTGACACCCGATTGTTATGAATATGTCCCTATGGAGGATCTAGGATTACTTTTCAGTCCACAAATGTCTACCCATGAGCCTGTTCTTCTTTGCCATATTCATAAAGCCAACTACATATGTAAGGGTCACCAGGGAAGACTCCACAGAAATCTCAAACCATACAAATGTGAAGAATGTCCCAGATCCTTTACATGCCCCTATAAGCTCTCAGTTCACCAGAGAAGACACAGGGTAGAGAGGTCATTTTTCTGTATCCATGGTGAAACAAGTTCCTATAAAACTCAGACCTACAAGTTCATGAGGACATACCCTAGAACTGAATCTCTAGCCCAGGTTAGCCTTTAATTCCTAGGTCCTTCTGCCTCTGATTCTTCAGTGCTACTATTAAAGTTTTGTGCAACTACATCCTGTGGAAATATTAATCCTGATTAAGCATACCCAATACTTTCCACTGAAATAATAGAGTATACTTCTTTTATTAAAAGTGATTGCAAATCTCACACCATATACTCCAATTGGGTTGAGTTGTTCCCTTATCTGTCCCCCTCCCCTGTGACCTTCCAACACACTCCTAAAGATAAACAGAAAACAAAAAAGTACATTTGGTGTTGTCCATATATGTACTGGAACATGGTGAAATTCCTATTTGCCAAATAGTGAAAGGAGGATGAGATTTTCTCTGCCTTCATCCATGCCAGAAGCCATGAATTGGGCACAGTCCTGGGATGGTTAGAGCAGGAAATGTCCAGAACTCTCATACCTACACCATGACTTGCTGCAACCTGCTGTGGGCCAGTGAAATTGGGGTCTATTTCTTTCACAAGGAATGGTGCTGAGACTTTCTACTTATATGAAGACCAAACTTTCAGACATTCTCCAGTGAGACAGTTAAATTAAAATCAGGAAAATGATAAATATGTTATTTAATCTAAATTCCAAAAATAATCTCCAGGGTCTGTTGACACTATCTAATTTATTCACTTTTAAATATGTATGAAAAGGGCACCTGGAAATTTGCAATGGAAACTTTCCTCTTCTCCAAGATTGAAGTCACAGGGTAGGCAAACCCTCAATGCTATTTTTCTCATAGCCTTTTTTAAAATTTAAATTAGAAACAATCTTGTTTGACACTTCATTCTCCCTCCTCTCCTACCGTGCCTCCCACCAACCCAATACCCCATCTCCATCTGCTCCCCTTGGGAGATCTTCAAATTCTGTCACATCTTATGTAGCAGCGCCTAGGCCCTCCTAATACATTCTAGGCTGAGAAAGTTTCCCTCTATGGGGAATTCACTCCCCATTCCTACACTTTGGATAAATCCTGACCCACTACCAGAGGCCCCATAGACTGCCTAGAATTCCCAACTGACACCCATGTTCAGGTGGTCTGGGTCAGTCCTATGCTGGTTTCTCATCTATCAGTCTGGGGTACATAAGCTCCCTCTTGTTCAGGTCAGCTGTTTCTGTGGTTTCTCCAACCTGGTCTTGACCCCTTTGCTCATCACTCCTCCCTCTCTGCAGCTGGATTCTAGGAATTTGGCTCAGTGTTTAGCTGTGGGTCTCCAATTCTGCTTCCATCATCTACTGGATGAAGGCTCTAGGTTGGCATATGAGCTAGTCATCAATCTCATTATAGCTGAAGGGCATTTAAGGTACCCTCTCCACTATTGCTTAGATTGTTAGGTCTGGCTGCTGCAGAATCCCTAGACTCTGGTGGTGTTATGTTAGTCTTTATTTTCTGATCATATACTAT